TTGAGCATCAACCTGTGAACCAGGAGGTCACTGTTTGATTCCTGGTCAGGGCACATGCCCGGGTTGCAGGTTTGATCCCCAGCATGGGGCGTGCAGGAGGCAGCCAATCGATGATTCTCTCTCGTTATTGATGTTTCTATCTCTCTCTCCCTCTCTCTTTCTCTCTGAAATCAATAAAAATATATATATTTTTAAATCACCATTTTCGCCCTAGCCAGTTTAGCGCAATAGATATGGCGTCAGCCTGTGGACCGAAGGGTCCCAGGTTCAATTCTGGTCAAGGGTACATACCTGGGTTGGGGGCTCGATCCCCAGTCAGAGGCATGTAGGAGGCAGTTGATCAATGATTCTCTCTCATCATTGATGTTTCTATCTTTCTCTCCCTCTCCCTTTCTCTCTGAAATAAAAATATATATATATTTAAAAAACAAAACAAAACAAAAAACCCCCAACCTTTAAAAAAAAATCACCATTTTGTAATCACTAATGTAATAATAAATTCAGGCAAGGATTAATAGTTAATGCTAAAATCATTGGATGAAAGATTGCTAGGGAATAAGATAATCACAAAGTTTCAAAATATTACTCTACAGATTATGTACTGATTACAAATGGGAAAATGTATTTTTATAATAGAGAAGTCTGGTAGGTACCAACTTAACCAAGTGATCAAACAACCTCACCAGGTACTGAGCAAACTGATTTTATGTGCCTCCAGATATAATGCACTGAAGACATAATTGACTATCTTGGCAATGACAAGAACATTCTTGCCAAAAAGATTAATTTGAATCTAATCGTGATAGAAAAAAATCAGATAAATCTAAATTGTGAACTAGTCTACAAAACAACTGTTCCAGACACTTCAAAACCACCTGTGTCATAAAAGAGGAAAAAAATGTGGCGAACTGGTTTTAAATGAAGAGACTAAAGAAACATGACAACAAAATGAATATATCTTGGATTAGAAAAGTAAGCCAGCTACAAAAGACATTTATTTTATTGGAATAATTGTAATTTGACATGGAGTCAATGTTGAGTTTCTTACATTGTTTAGTGTTATATCAATGTTGAGTGTAATATTGTGATTATGTGTAGCAGAACAACTTTGTTTTAGCACACACATGCTAAAGTATTTAGGGTTCAAGTTTCATGATGTATGCAACTTACTTTAAAATGATTCAACAGAAATCATTATTGAGAAAGTGCCACAGAGAGACAAACAAGCAAATGTAGCAGAATGTTAACAATTGGTGAATATAGGTTGATGGTATACAAGTGTCTTTCCTATTTTTTTTAAAATTTGTTAAATATGTTCAATATTTTTCAAAATTAAGAAAAAAGAGTGAGAGGTTTAACACAGAAGAGTTCAATATAGGCTGCCCACATCAACCAGGTTGAAAGGTGAATAAAAACAAGAGCAAGCCCTGACCAGTTTGGCTCAGTGGGTAGAGCATCAACCTGCGGACTGAAAAGTCCCGGGTTCAATTCCGGTCAGGGGCACGTATCTTGGTTGTGGGCACATCCCTAGGAGGAGGTGTGCAGGAGGCAGCTGATCAATGTTTCTAGCTCTCTATCGCTATCTCTTCCTCTCTGTAAAAAATCCATAAAATATATTAAAAAACACACACACAAAAAAAACAAGAGCAAAAGTAAACCAGCACAAGAGCAGAGAGGGTTAGTACCAACTCATCTGTCTCTGTAGGTAGCACTGTCTGAGCACAAGAACCTCTAGTCTGGTCGGCTGTACCACTCCCTGGGGATTGTGTTTCACTTTATGCCTCCGCCTGCATTATGTGTAAAAAACCCCCACAAAACCAACAGCCATAAAGGATATTTTTGGAACTTTGAGGAAATTTGAAGATAGACTGTGTATTAGATAATATTGTGTCAATGATAACATCCTTATCTATGATAATGGTATTGTAGCTATGTAGGAGAATGGTCATGTCCTTAGGGGAGAAATGCTGAAATACGATATCTGCCCTTTACTCTCAAATGATTGGGGGAGAAGTGTGTGAATGTGTGTGAGTGTGTGTGTATGTGTGTGTGTTTAGAGAGAAAAACAAATATGGTAAAATGCTAACAACTTGAGGACTTAGATAAAGGGTGTATGGGTATTTACTGTATTATTCATACAGCTGTGTGTTAGGATTAACATTTTTCAAAATTAAAAGTTGGGATAAAGTTTCCATAGGTCCTTTAAAGTTCTCCTGGTGTGGGTGCTAATTGGTTTGGCTTTCTTTTAATTTTACACTTAAAAAAATTTATCTTCATTGTTGAGTACACTTATTTTCCATCTTCCATCCTGACCACTTTCAGCCTAACAAAAGGATATATAAATGAGCGATCTATGCATGTTTCTACACAGAAGGATCTTCTCTAATAAGATAGTTATTGCTTTAGGATAGAAATGAGTGAAGATAGTATGGAACAGTTATAAAGTATGGGCTTTAGAGTAAGACTAGGGTTCAAAACTTAATTCCAAAATATATTGTGTGACTCTGGAAAAGCTATATTTGAGCAGTTATATAGTAGCTGCTTAAAAATGATGGATAGAGAATTAGGAGGCAATAGTAATTACCATTGCAAGGACACTGGTTGAAGACAATACATTTTCTTGATATTTCCATTGTTTAATCACTATAAAACCTACCCCTTCCCTTTTTAAACTAATAAGAAAAGAAATACAACATTAACCTACCTCAGAAGGAATGTCACAAAAGATTTTTTAAAAATTGGTTTAATGACATTTATAATGAAAAATTCAATGCAGCAAAAATGTATTGAGCTCCTATTTTATAGGCTCTGGGCTAAATGCATAGTTCTTACCCTTAGGAAGCTCTCCACTTAGTGAGGAATACTAACAACTTGGGGACTTAGTGAGGAAAACACATAAATACACTCATTATAATCAGGCAATCTGTGCTAAGTGCTGTAATAGAGGCAGCAAGTATTACAGAAATACTGAGGAGGGAGTAAGCTGCTCATTCTCACCAGGCTTATGAGAAAGTGCTTCTTAGAGGAGATAATACGGATGCTAGGGATCGAAGGATTTTAAGATTTCAAAAGGGAGTGTGTCATTCCAAGTAAGGGAAATGGTTTTAGCAAAGGCACAAAGGATACAAAATGAAAGATAATGGTAGGTTTGGAAGGCAATAAGTATTTGGTGTGGGATAGCTAGGTCTTCAGACACATGTTATTAAATATAGGAGATGGAATAAAAGGCTAATTTGGAACTGTATCATAAAAAAAATGGCCGTGAACACTGTCCTATTTAATTTTGAAGTCTATGAAAAGCCGTTGAAGTTTTCTAAGCAGAGCAGAGACATGAGCAACTTCATCTTTTTTTAAAAAAATACATTTTGTTGATTTTTTTTTTACAGAGAGGAAGGGAGAGGGATAGAGAGCTAGAAACATCGATGAGAGAGAAACATCGATCAGTTGCCTCCTGCACATGTCCTACCGGGGATGTGCCTGCAACCAAGGTACATGCCCTTGACCGGAATCGAACCTGGGACCCCTCAGTCCGCAGGCCGATGCTCTATCCACTGAGCCAAACAGGTGCTGGCAGCAACTTCATCTTTTAGAAGTTATAACAGAAGAGAGACATGAAAAAGGCAGACTAAGAGGCAGGATGACCAGCTAGGGAGATCAATGCCATAGTTCAGGAGAGAAAACTGAGGAAGCAGGAGGAAGTAACTTTGAGAGACTTTGCTGAGGTGGAATCAACAAATGTACTTTGTTAGCTGTGGTGGGGAAGAAAAATGGAGAAATAAAAATTGTCTCTGCGGTTTCCCTTTTAATTAACTGACTGTGTGGATAGTAGTACCATTAATGGAGATAGGGAACACAAGAGAGTACCTAGATACCTGTGTGGAAAGGTAGGAACAGGGAAATGAAGTCCATTTGGATATGTTGAGTTTAAATTGCCCACGGAACAAGTCAGAAAAAAATCATTCAAACAACAATAACAAAACAAAAAAAAACACACAAAAAAAACAGAAACAAAAATCTTTCAAAGCCTTCGGAAATGATCCTGAGAGCAAACAGCAAATGAAGAAACATCTATTAAAGGATTTCTATAAATATTTGATAGGAAAGGTGAGAAATCATGGTATTTAAAGAAGGACTGCTGCCTGCCTCCCCACTCCCAAATCAATGAGGTGGGGACTCCACTCCACTGCTGCAGCTAAGAATATTTCTCCTCTAATCTTCCAGCTGGAAAGGTTTTTTCCAGGGAGGACTAGGACTCCATTGTTTCACGTCCTGCCCCCAGCTGTCTGTTGTGGGGCTGAGTCCCAAGTGAGTGTGCCTGAGAGGTAAGGGCTCCCTTGTTTCATCCGACTCCACTCATGGAACACAGAATCTACCTTAGGCATTGCACACTGAGAATATCAGAGGAAGTGCAATACAAGGGAAATGCAAATCCAAACCACAATGAGAGAACATTTCGCACCCACTAGAAGGGGCATAAAAAAAGAAAAAGCAAACAATAGTAAGTGTTGGTGTAGAGAGATTTAGAAAAATTGAAAACATCATACATTCCTGAAATCTAAAATGTAAAGTGGTGCAGCTGCTTCAGAAAACAGGCTGGCAGTTCCTCAAAAGGTTGAACATAGAGTTACCATATGACCCAGCATTTCCAATCCTAAGAGAATTGAATAATTCTGCTTATCTGGAATGAATATAGACACATCTACAGCAACAGAAAGTAGGTTAGTAATTGCCAGGAGTTGGGGGAGAGGAAGAATAGGCAGTGACTGAAAATGGTTATGGGGGTTCCTTTTGGGGTGATAGAATTAGTAGGGGTTAACTACTGCATAAGTTTATGACAATAAAAACTCCATTGAATTGCATACTTGGATTATATCTCAAGGAGAGCGAGAGAGAGAATAGAGAAAGAGAGAGAGCTACTCTTCACTTGGTCATTGTAGCTTAGGATGGTGGAAATCACTTTGTTAGCCTTATGCAGTGTCAACCAAATACTAATAGCTTACCTCAGTTCCTGTTTCTCTCCAATCCCAATCCCGACTTCCCCCTGGCCACACTTTGCAGTCCTTATAGATTTTAGTAGAGCCTTGTACTTTCATTTGCCCCCATGAAAGGGAAGCAATTTCAGGGGAAGACATAAGGAACTTAACTGAAATCTGAAATTTAAAAAAAAGTACCAAATCAGTTATAAAGGAAGGTTGAAATCGTTCCAAAATACAGGAGGTATACTATATAAAAATATATATTTAAATACTACTAATACTATCACTCTCTAATGCTAACGCCGCCTCTAGCTCATAGAGCTCTAGCAGAAGGAGAAGGGAGGTACGTAAGGAGGTCTCTATACCAGCGATTTTCAACTGGTGTGCCGCAGCACACTGGTATGTCACAAGAAGTTTTTAAACATGCAATACCTGACTATTTAGTTAGGGGCACTGACTTCTTTTCCCTTAGATTGTCAAATAAAAAAATGACAATAACCAACACAATAGTCGTCCGGTGTGACTAAACCATTATACCTATATTTTTTGTCACATCGCCAAAAATTATAATATTTTTGGTGTGCCGCAGACCTTTAGTAATTAGTTTATGTGTGCCATGAGATGAAAAAGGTTGAAAATCGCTGCTCTACACCATGGCTCCTACAAAGCAGACTGCTCACAAATTGATGAGTGGTCAAGCACTTGGCTACCAAAGTTGCTCACAAAGAGTGCGCCCTCTACTGGAGGGGTGAAGAAACCTCACCGTTATAGGCCGGGTACCGTGGCACTCCATGAAATTATCAGAAGTCCACTGAACTTCTGATTCTCAAACTTCCCTTCCAGCATCTGCTGCGAGAAATTGCTCAGGACTTCAAAACAGATCAGCGCTTCCAGAATGCAGCTATTGGTGCTTTGCAGGAGGCAAGTGAGGCCTATGTGGTTGGCCTCTTTGAAGACACCAACCTATGTGCGATCCAGTCCAAGCGTGTAACAATTATGCCAAAAGACATCCAGCTAGCACGTTGCATACATGGAGAACGTGCTTAAGAATCCACGATGAGGGGGAACATTTTATCCCAGTTAAAAAATATGTTTTTATTGATTTTTTTTAGAGAGGAAGGGAGAGGAATAGAGATAGAAACTTCAATAAGTGAGAAATATCATCAATCAGCTGCCTCCTGCACACCCCCTACTGGGGATCAAGCCCACAATCGGGCAGGACCAGGAAGTGAACCAGTGACCTCTTGGTTTCTGGGTCAATGCTCAATCGCTGAGCCACACCAGCCAGGCAACATTTCATTCTTTAAAAAAATTTTTTTTCTCTTCTTCCTGTTATTGGTTGTTCTGAATGTTAGCTATTTTCCCCCCCATTGGGTCAAAAGATACCTAAGTATATGATTGCAAGTGGAAAAATAGGGGACAGAAATAAGGTATGGGCAGTTTTTCCATTTTCATTTGTGTGTGAATTTTTAAAAATATAAATGTTGGGAGATAAAGCATTAATAATGCAAGTCAAAATGTGTCAGTGAACAAGTTTCAGCAGTCCAACTTTATAATAATTAGAAACTTAAATTTTTCTGAACAATGCCAGTATTTGGATTTTTTAAGACAAGTAATTTCCTTATTATATATACAAAATATAGTTAGCCCTAATCCACTATGAGTTAAGAAGCATTTTTCTCATTTATGTGGTTGTCACATATTCTTTAGAGGTCTAATAAGTACATTGTTATTCTCAGGATCCTGAAACATCCAGCCTTGGAAACTAGATAGTATAATTACTTCTCAGACTGGGGAAGGAATGCTCAGGATATTTTTTGGGGAGATAAAATGAAAAGGTGGAGATTTACTTCAGCATGATGGAGTGAGGAGATTGACAATCCTTTCCCCAAAAGCAAATATAAAGCTGGACAAAACTATAAAAAATAACTACCTGGTACTCTAGTAATTTATATTACTAGTAAATGCATATATATAAACTGAGAAGTGTTTATTTATGACAACCACTGGATTTCAGATAAAGAACAGTAAGGTATTTTGTTGTTCTTGCCTGGGACCACTCCCATGTCCCCACATTGATTCTGTTGGCACAGAGGTTCAATGTGGTTGGAGCAGAGCATGAAAAACAACAGATTTGCTGCTATAGTCAGAGGAGGCTCACTTGATTTTAAGCACTATGATTTAAACTAGTGATCTTAGTGGAGGTGAATATGGATGACAGGTGGCTCTGGTTCCTTGATATTTGGGGCAAACAATGGATTGGAAGAGTAGGGAAGGATTTCATTGGAATTTCCCAGAGGTGACACAGCCATAGGGAATAAGCTCTCCACATATCCAGAGTGGACAAAAGGCTGTGAGCATGGGGGGAAAGGGGAGATAGAGGACATCTGTTATACTGTCAACAATAACATATATATATATAAAAAAAAGCAGTGGCTCCGCCCTGTATGGCTCAAGTGGTTGGGCGTCTTCCCGTGCACCAAAAGGTTGCTGGTTCGATTCCTGGTCAGGGCACATGCTGGGGTTTTGGTCTCGATCCATTGTGCAGGAGGCAGCCTATTGATGATTCTCATCATTGATGTTTCTCTCTCTCTCTCTCTCCCTTCCTCTTTCTAAAATAAATAAAAAGATATTTTTCTTTTAAAAGAAATTGTACCGGAGTGTTCCCACATGTTTGATTTAGCAAAGACTTCAAAGAAGCTATTATAAATATATTCAAAGAACTAAAGGAAGCCATGTACATCAGTATTTCTTAAACTGGAATTTTCAAAAGTATTTGATATGTTTCAAAAGAACATTTTTTCCCTTTAGAAAGGGTTTGAATATTAGAAATAAGTATTCTAGGTAATAAATTCCTCTTATAATTTTTCTCTTTTAATAAATGAGTAATTTTTTTTCTTTCTTTAGATAATGAGAATGATGTCGACCATTATGGTTTTCCCTTTTTTTAAACCTAGAAATGCAGAACAAAATGCAACGTTTAATTGTGGTAAGCATTTTTCTGTTCCCAACATAATTATCTGCCTATAAATTTCTTTATTATCCTTAATCATTAATTGTCCTATTTTACATGGTTATATTGTATCTTGCTTCAAATTCTTTTTAGGGAGTAGGTACTATCTAAGTTTTAAATGCACATTGAAAAATTTGGCTCAAAGTAGTAAACTGTATAAATTATAGCTGGATTCAATCTAAATTTTAGGAACTCCTTTTTTTAAAAAAGTACTTACAATGTGCCAGCGCATAGTGCCAATCAATTTACTGTGAATTATCTAGAACCTATGGTGTAGGCACTGTTATCACCCCCACTTTACAGAGGTTCAGAGAAATTAATCTTCCCCAATGGTATCAAGTGGTTCTGTTAGGATTCAAGTCTGGCCGAATCTAAAGCTCAGGCTCCTAAACCACAATGCACAGGGCATCTCAGGCTGTACATTCCATTTTGCATTACTGACGGTTTTCTGAGATTCTTTGTGGGAGAATGCTCACTGCTGCCCCCAACGAGGTGGAACCCTGTCCTCTATCAAACTTTTTGCTCTTCCACCAAATCTCCTATCACGCCCGCCCGCTCAGCGACCGAGTCCTAGCCCACCCTTTGCTCCCACCCCACGGACCAGTCCCCTCCAGCGGTTCTCAACCTGTGGGTCGCGACCCCTTTGGCGGTCGAACGACCCTTTCACAGGGGTCACCTAAGACCATTCTGCATATCAGATATTTACATTACGATTCATAACAGTAGCAACATTACAATTATGAAGTAGCAACGAAAATAATTTTATGGTTGGGTCACAACATGAGGAACTGTATTTAAAGGGCCAGAAGGTTGAGAACCACTGCTAGACCCTAGAGTCTCCACAGAGCCCCTCTCCCTCACACCCAGGCCAGCACAGCACAGCCCAGTCCTCTCACCCCTTGGTCCTCCTGCAGAGGTAGGTCCTTTCAGACCCCGATCTCCTGGCAGGACCCCAACTTTTCAGACGGTGATCTCCGCCGAGCCCTGTTCCGTAGGCCCTCCTCCCCTTGGGCCCTCAGACACTGTTTTTCCGAAAGCGAAGCCGCGAATCTTGTACCGCAGCGGAGAGCAACGCCCCTCAGCAAACAACCGCAGACTTCTCCTTACACAGGTCCCGCCCCAACCCCTAGTTAAGGGCACCCCTCTACCGTACCCCTTTCCCACGTTCTCCCACAATCGTGCTTCTTCCTCCCCTATTCTCTTTTTTTTTTCTGATTCACTCTCCTGAACTCCCCTCACCATCGCGTGGCCCTCTTCCAGTTCTCGGAGTCCCCGCCACACTCACCCAAAGCCCGCTCTTCACGGAGCTGCGATCCCCAACCGCTCCGTGCAGTTCCTCCCGCCTCACTGAGTTCGGGCCCTCGGATCTAAGGTGTTCCCCCCACAGGCCCCGCCCCTCCCCTCCCCGCCCCGAAGGAACCTTTCGCCCGTCACCGCCCGAAGCCCCGCCCCCTCAAGCCTATTGGTTACCGTTCCCAGAAAGTCCCGCCTCCTAAGCTTCCAGCCCGCCTACCGGCCCGGCTTCCCTTGTTTTCATTCCCCCTGTCACACGAGGCTGTGTGGAGCTCTAAGTGGGAGGAGCGAAGGACATGGAGGGACGGGGGCGGGAAGAGGGAGGAAAGTGAAAGGCGCTGAGCGTCTCTCTTTCCCCAGTCGGACGCGGTTCTCGACTGCTCCCGGCCGCCGCTGTATTGTGGGATCGCGGCGCCGTGCTGGGGCCGCTCGGCTGTGCCGGGGCGTCCACCAGCTAGCGCCTCCTGTCGTCTGTGAAGCCACCCTGCTATTCCTCGGCACCCCAGCGCCCCTCACCCCCCCATCCCCTCCTCCTCCATCCTCCAGTTCTAAA